AGACATAAGATGGGCAAACAGCTTGTCCCATACAGTAGGACATATTTACATTTTGATGTTTCCTTCACTGTGCAAAAGCTTTTTGCTAGATGCACTTCCATGTATTTATTTTTGTTTTTGTGTCCTTTGCTGTAGGGGTAGTGTCTCCAGACACATCTGTAAGGCTGATGTCATGGAGCACATCACCTCTGTTTGCTTCTGTTTATTTCATGGCTCCAGGTCTCACATCCTCAAATCATAGTTCTATTGTCCATGTTCGGACATACCTCTTCTTTGGATTTTGTCTTTCAAATCCTGTTTTTGGCTTTTTATGTCAGCTTTGTGAGGTTTAGTTTAAAAAAATTACATTCTTAAACTAGTTAGGACTTATGTATTAACATATCCTAATTTAATTGTATCTGTTTATGTTCATTTTTTAGACAGCTTAACATTTAAAAATCTCTAGATGTGTTAGTAGATTAACTGTATTCAAAGTTTCTTATGTAATATTACATTTGGTTTTTTGACTTCCCAGGTTTAAGTACTCAGTTTTAACTACATATAGTAATTCTTTACTAAAGTGAAATGGTTGACTTGAAAAACAGCATCACTTACATCTAATGCATGGGGTTAATTACCAATTTCAGTATAGAAACAAAACATAAGCAATTATTGGCTTTAGGTAGTAGATGGATTCTATTTAGTAGACTTTAAACTCTCTACACAGATCACTTGAACCAATGATTTTTATACACATGCTCTGTGATTCTGTGCAATCCTTCACAGGATTGGGTTTGACAAAAAAATTAAAATATTGACACATAAATCATAGTATTGTTTCAAGTTTTTCGGATAACCTCAAAGCATATATTCTCAACAGAGTGAAGTAGGAGACAGCAGACTGAGAATTGTCTCGGTCTCTGTTCTCCAAGAGAAGTGTGGCAGTGCCGTTACTTTGCCTATCTTAGAGGAAAGACAGCTCATACACAGGGGTCCTGAGTGGCATGGTCATAAAGGAACCTCATATCCTAACCACTCCAACAGAGTTGGCATATGTTGTTAGAGGACCAGTCTATAAGTATGTTCAGTTAGTGAATCACAGGCTGGGTACAAAAGGAGCATGGCAAGCCCATTCAACCCCTACCAAAGGATTAGAAAAAGGACTTTTCTTTTGATTACAAGCTATCACATTTGTACTTGATCAAGATATATAAACCTAAATATGCATAATAAAGTCTAAAATTGTTTTCCATCCCTCCCTCTCACTCTCCAGGAATAACCATGACAATTTTTTTCATAGAGAAGTTGCCCTTTTTATGTGATCTAGTTACTTGGTCTTTTAATTTTTTTACTTTGAGATTTTGAGTTTTTCTTATCATATCTGTTTCCCCCAAATATTAAAATCATTTCCTTTATGTTCTTATAAATTATTCCAATATATTTGCATAACCCAGTATTTCTATAACAAGTTGAATACTCTAAGTTCTTTCTTTCTTTATTTTTTAAGGTTTATTTATTACCCCCAGCATACAAGAGCTGGGGTATAGGCCAGAGGTGGGGGTGGTGAGAGGATTCACCAGAGACAGAGTGGGGAACGGAACAGGCAGATTGACCAAAATACACTGCTGAGGGGAACAGCGGGCGAGTCAGGAAGGGTCTGCTGCACCAGTGGGCTGCTCCCTGGTTGGCCAGGAATTGAACTCATGCTGCAGTGGTTGTGGATTGCTTCATAGGTTGCTTCTTAACCCTTGCACCACCAGGGAGGCCCAAGTTCTTTGTTGAAATGCCACTCACCCTCCCAAGATGTATCAGGAATAAGACCTATGTTCTCTTCATCAAAGGAATGGAAGGAGTTGGCAATCCACATTTAACAGAAGTGTAATGTATTAGTAGGCCAATTTAATTTCATAGTTTAGCATGTGGGCTATCTTCATTGAGGAGATGTCTGAATAATATTAAACATTATTTAAGCTGTTCCTATAGCATTAAATTAAAATAAGCATCTTCAGATGGAATGATTTTGTGAGGGAAATTATGTCACTATTTAAACTGTTGGCAGAATATGAAAAAAAGTTTGTCATCACTTATCATGAAAATGTCAATCCAATAACAATGAGGTATTAACTCACACCTGTGAGAATGGTCCATATTAAAAAGATCAGGAAAAAATAGTGCTGGTGAGGGTGTGAAGAAAAAGAGCCTTCCTACTCTGTTGGTGGGAATATAGATCAGTCCAGTCTCTATGTAGAACAGTTTGGAGGTTTCTCAAAATATAAAAATAGATCTAGCATATAATCCAGCAATTCCACTCCTAGGTATCTACCTGAAGATGCAAACACATTATTCAAAGGAACATATGCACTCCTGTGTTCATTGCAGCACCATTTATAATAGCCAAGCTATGGAAACAGCCTAAATGCCCAAGGACAGACGAGTAGATTAGAAAGATATGGACCCTGACCCTGTGATTCCAGAGCCCAGGTCAACAGGCACTACAGATTCCACTTCCCTGCTAATACCTCCACTCCCAAAAAAACAAATTAGAATTGGATTATGGATACTTTTTTGGTGAGGGTGGTGTAGTAACGTACACCTGAAGGGGTGTGACTCTGTCCCCCTAAATCATATATAGTGTTGTAAACCAGTGTTACCTCAATTAAAATGGTACAAGTAAAAATAAATCCACTTGAATAGACAAAAGGAAAGGGAAAAAAATAAGTCTTTAAAGCATTATTCTGGTGATGTCCATCCAGAGCAGAGTTTTGTTAGATTCTTGGCAGCCTTTTCTTAGAAGAGGTTGCCAAGAAACTAGACAAAAGGGTGCATGGCTGCCCTGAAAGGCTCTGGGCATATACAGAGTTGATTGAGAGGAAAATGGAAGCTTGGTTTGTGAAAGCGAAGAATTGTTCATGTGGCCATAATGTAGGGTGAATGTGAAGCAGTTATTTTAAAATGAGCAATGGGATTCTTAATATGTATAGGAGACAGAAACATAGCATGTGATGTCAACTACAAGGTTCTAAACCATAGAGTGGGATGTAGGTCCTCGGGAGTCAATTCAGATGCCAGTTAACATAACTAGGGATGAGCAAGACCTACAGAAAAGGACACCTGGAATCAGAGTGATATCTAAATGTTCATCTACCCACTGAGAGGATTGTAAATGTTCAGCCTATGAATGGTGGAAACAATGGGATATAGATGGAAGCAGGTAGCAGTGGAGGGAGGGGGCTTCAATTCTATCCTGTCTCCATCTGAGAAGTATCCTTTAACTCCAGGAAAGTGGTGAAATTCTTTTGTATGCCATCACAGCCTACTGTCTAGATACTTGAAGTTCATGGAGCTTTTGCTGGGGATGAGGGTGCTAAGCCACTTGTAGTTTCTTCTCTCTCCTTCCCTCTTCTCTCCTTTCTCTGTTACCCTTCTTTTCAATGTTTTGGATCAAGTAGAGATAAGAGACATTTTTTAAAATATTTATTTATGCATACATGAGCTGGGGTATAGGCAAGAGGTGCAGGAGTGAGAGGATTTGCCAAAGACAGAGCGGGAAGCAGAACAGGCGATCTACTGAAATACACTGTTGAGGGGAGCAGCAGGTAAGAGAGGAGAGGTCTGCTGTGCCATGTGGGTAAACTCCCAGGCGAGGGATTGAACTCATGCTTCAGTGGGTGGCAATATAGCTTGATAGCACTGTCACTTAACCCCTGCACCACCAGAGACCAAGAGACATTTTTTTTTTTTTAAGTCAGCACAGCAAGGAAGAAATAGACCCTTTGAATAACACTTCAGTGAAGATGACAATATCAAGACATAATTGAATATGCATTCTAATGTGCAGCCAGATTAGGCATCAATAATATCAATAGAGTCACGTGTATTGAAAATATGCCTCGCCAATTCTTACTGTATTGATGAATATTATTTTAGTGGTTTGAAACACCAGATTTATGGAATAGATAACTGTAGCCATTCAGATAACATATGAGAAAACTGAGGTTAAATTTTCAGCCTAAATGACAGAGTTAAAAAGTAGCAAAGACTGCGCTTGAAACTGAATCTGCCTGTTCAAAAGTTCATGGCGCTAACCACTTCAATGCATTTCGCTATTTCATCTTTGGTTTGAAGATTCCTGGGGGTTATCCCCCTCCCCCCTCCAAATGTCAAAGGACATTTTTCCTTTTGTAAAGAGCTCACTGAATATCCTTCAGAAGAAAGCCCATCCCCTCCCAGAGGAATGTGGCTTCATCATTAAACCTCAACCAGTCAACCATATCCAAATATATCTCTGCAAATAATAAATGGATTATTCACACAAGTCATGTGTAGATCTATCTCCCACCCTGGGTACCTCTCTTGCCTTATCTGTGGAGGACAACTCAAGTTCATTTCATGTCCTTCTTCATCCTAAATCTTTATGATGATGATGTCTCTTGGTTGCATTGCTAATGGTGCTGACTTCCAGTTATTATATACCCCCTATCCAAGGAGCTTGGCACGCAGTGCTTGGCAGATTGCCAATAGTACCTACAGCAGACACTATGACCTCCCTTTCACATTGGAGACATGGGGGCTCTCAAGACTATGTAATTTGCCCAAGTTCACGCAACCTGCTAAGTGCACACACTGGGATTTGAGCCTACCACTGCCTGGTTCCAAAGTTCATGTCTCTTCTACTGAAAAAATTAAAAGGGAAATAAGAATATGCACAGGGAGGAGGGTCTTTGGGTACAATCATTTGTGTTTGACCATCTTGTCTTGTTCTGAAGTTTTGTGGGAACACCAGTGAAGTCTGTTTATTTTTATATCTTTCCTTTGACCCCTTCTTACTCACCCTCAGCATTCAGTAGAGCTCATTTCTTTTTCCCATCATGAACTATCTAGAACAGTCTATCTCTCATCGTGTTATATTCCAATGCATGCCTCTGTTTCCACATTGCACTGTCTTCTGGTTTTACGTGGTAAGGTTGTGTTCACCCTCACGTTTATAGCGTTGTGTTGTCAAAAGCTTCTGTTTTACTTACATTTTGATTGATCTTTGCTCTTGAAACTCTGTTCTCTCATTTTCAGCAGTCAGATTCCTTTTTAACAGGAGCATTGCATGTCCTGAAGGGAAAGGTTAGTGACTCAGCATTGTTCCTGAAACTTTGCACAGGAACCTAATTCCCCACGACCGTCGCAATGCAGTTCAATTTTCAACTCCCTGTGTCAGAAGTTGTTACTTGAAAATGCAATTGGGTGCAAAACTGGCAAAATTAGGCTCCAAATAGAGACAAAGAACATTTGCACATGGGATTAAGAAAAAGAAAGAGAAAGGAATTTGTAAAGTCCAGAATTTTGATAAGCTGCAGGGAAGGTGAGTTTGCTTTTCATAAAATAAAAGTGCTGTCCATCTCCCAGGTGACAATTCCTAATCTCAATGGTAAATTCAGTTTCTAAGGAGGTAAAATTTGGGCAAGGAAATGTTTTTCTTTGTAGAGTTGTAGAATAAGGTAGATTTGATTCCAGAAATAATAGATTCGGTCCCCAAAGGCATATTGTCAATGCGTGGTTCTCAAACCCCTTGCATCAAAATGACTTGGGATACTTACTTAAAATGTAGGAACTGGACCCAACTTTAATGAAGTACATTCTATAGAGATGCAACTCTAAGTGAAAGCCTGAAGGGCAAATAGAAAAGTCATCTATAAGGTAATGAAATGAGATAAACCCTAGAAAGTTGGGCCTCCCTGGTGGCGCAAGAGGTTAAGACACAGCACTCTGAAGCTATCCACAGCCACTGCAGCATCCCCTGCCAGGGAGCTACCCACATGGTACAGCAGACCTCTCCTGACTCACCCCCTGCTCCCCTCAGCAGTGTATTTGTCAGTCCATCATTTCTGTTCCCCACTCTGTCTCTGGTGAATCCTCTTACCCCCCCACACCTCTGGCCTGTACCCCAGTTCTTATATTCATAAATAAATAACTCTTTAAAAAAATTAGAAAGTTAGCAGGTTTAAGGCTTTCCTTATCTATTACTTTAGTGGATTATGTCTTTTGTCTCTCTTTTTTTGCTTCTTGCCCCTTTCCTACTTCAGGCTCCTTCCCAACCCCCCTAAAAATCACATTCGTTCTCTAGCAAGAATATAGTCAATATTTTCACATAGTGGCACAAACACCTGACAATGGTTTTAAGGGCTACCTTTCCTGGGAGCAACATTTAAATCTAACCTGTGTTTAACTTGAAGCTTTATTTCAGTCACAGGAGTGAAACACTAATGGTGCCATTTATGATGAGTCAGGGAAAGGAGATAAATGGAAGGAGTGAGTAGTAAGTTTTATTTTGGTGGATACTAGAAATAACATATGAAAGTCTGCTCCATGGTCAGAGACTGTTGACTCCTCATCTGGAATATTTTAACACAGGGAGGGGAGAACTTATCTAACAGGAATGGATTGAAATTTGAGTGTGTCTATTTGGCTTTTCTTTTCTTTTTTTTAAGATTTATTTTTTTATTCATGCATACAAGAACTGGGATACAGGTAGGATGCGCGGGAGGATTAGAGGATTCACCAGAGACAGAGTGGGGAACAGAACAGGCAGACTGACAAAATATACTGCTGAGGGGAGCAGTGGGAGAAACAGGAGAGGTCTGCGTGTCGTGTGAGATTCTCCGGCCGGCCGGGATTGACCGGCGCTGCAGAGGCTGTGGACAGTTTCACAGTGCTGCACTCAACTGCCTGTGCCACCAGGGGAGGCCCTATTTGACTTTCTTAATGTAAGTCCTCTTGTAGGTTTATTGCTCTGTTATTTATTTATTTATTTTGGTCTGGTTTTTTTTTTGCCTTAAATATGTGAAAGGTTTACAAATACAAGCACATATCTCAGCAAAAAGGCAAAGATCATTAAACCCTGAAAATTGAACACACACACAAGCAGATCCCATGCAGTAGTGATTCTTGAAATATCAAGAAAGTATGCATGAAGCACATTATAATTTCCACAATGTGGCAATGAGTGTCAAGACCCAAGCTACTGCCATTTGCTTTTGCTGGTGTTTAGCCTCGACACGTAACATATGCTAAGACAACCATAAGGAGTGTATGTTTTAAAAAACTCTTGGACTGGGTACCAGCTCTTGCAGACTGCACCTTTTTTATTTAGTAATTCTTTTATTCCCTTCTCCCTTAAGGTAGATATAGAAGGAGGCCAGGTACATGTTTTGTGAGAGACTAAAGGTATGTTTTATTTCAAATGATAGTAAGGTATTTTAAACTAAGAAGTAATAGAGGGTGGTTTAGTGAATTGTGGTGAGAATGAGGGTTTCTAGTCTAGCCAAGTGAGTATAAAAGACTGTTATCTGGATTGCCTAATCTTCAACATGAGTCCATTGGACCAGCTGTCCTATGACCTAAGTGGGTGGCCCTGCACTTAGGTTAAAATCCATCAGGCACTTTGCCTGGAGTAAAGCAATAATTGGTTCCATTTTAATAGCTCCCAAGTTTGCTTTAAAATTTAATTTGTGCTTTTCAAGTATGTTACATATTGTGCTATTGGGACTTATGGGTGTGTGGTATTTTACTTCTAATGGCTGTATCGCTCAAACCAGAGTAATTGTAACCACTTTCATCACATTTTATTATTAGCAAACTAGGGCTAGTTTAAGGAAATGTCTTTTATTCATTCTCAAAAATCCTCATCGCTGCCTTTTCCCATATCCAACATAGTGAACACACCACCAAGTTCTGAAAGTCAGAGTGGTACCAGTTGGTGAAAACATGTTTGCTTCCAGAACTTAATATATACATAGTGCACGACCTCTGTGCTTCTATGCCTGGTCCTGAGCTTATTTTAATGACCAGAGTGGGATTGTTGGGAATACATTTAATGACAAGTATTGTAGGAAATTAAGATTAAAGTTCGAATAATGGCCTCTTTCCTCAAGAAGTTCATATTGCAGTACACTTAAGGCTAAATAGTTTTACTTTCATTATTAGTAATAGCAACTTTTATGAACACTTATTATGTGCTGCCGAGTTGCATAATTTAACTTACTAAAGCCATACAACAACTTCCTATTAGCTCCAGCTTACAGATGATGAAACATAAGATCCAAAAGGTTAAATAAGTTTTGCAAGGACATAAAGCTAGTGAGCCTGGTTTCTTAAATATCTAGGTTCTCAAAGGTCTCAATCTCAACAAAATAGAGGATAGATTAACACTTGAAATTGGAATCTTAAAGAGGAATTTTAACTGGCTTTCCAATCTAAATAGCAATATACATGGTAGATACTTAGCATATCTTTAATATAATATTCAGACAAAATATGAGTTAAAAAGAATTTTGTGAGCTGATACGTAAATGGAGCAACTTTAATATATTTAATGTAGGGAACTAAGATTTGCATACCAAATAACTTCTTTATACATTTGATAATGTAATTGATTTCTGTAATGAGAAAAATAGATAGGCAACTCTGGGCTCACAAACCACACATAACTTAGCCAATTAATAACACACTGAGAACTTGGGACATTATGTAAGTTGCTTTCCAGTTAAAAGTAGCCTCTGTTATCAAAGAACTTGCTGTTTAAAACAATTCTCATTTGTTTCTTTTTAGGAGTTGGAGGGACTCTATTTTTTTGCCTTTTTATAAAGACTTTAAATATCTAAATATAAATTCTTGTCAGGTAGAATGATTCCAAATATATTTATTGCTAAGAATATGCTTTTTAGTGATTTGGGTTTAATCTCTCAGTAATGGTATCATAGCTTACATTTCTCCCTCAGTAAATATCCTCTGTAAAAATGAAAAGCTTACTTTAGAGGTTTATGACTAATTCTTGAAGATGAGCCATGATTATTTACTTAAAAAGGTACATTCTAAGCATAGAACCCCGTTGTTCTTAGATTTTTTTACGTAATATTAGTTGGCTATGAAGGCTTTTTAAACACTAATATCAACCCACATACATACCAACCCTTTAGACACTAAAAATCCACTAAGTGATGTTTATGACTATATGCATTTTAAAAAGATTATTTATTGAAACTTCAGAGCTTAAAATCATGAATTAAAATGAAAAATAAGAATGTTTATTTCAGGGATTGGGGTCAGAATTGGGGGGCTGCAATTGTATGGGGAATATAACAATAAATTAAAAAAAAATAAAAAAAAAAGAATGTTTATTTCAGATATGGAGTGGTATGTCAAAATAAAATTTTCCTTATTTTAGATAAAGCTTTCAGTGTTATTACTGGAGCACATATGTTTAAATAACTGTTTTAGAATCTTCCCTTTTATTCTTCTATCTCTGTTATTTCTTCATTTCCCTGTTCCTTGTGTATAATTTTCATATATAAATTCTCCTTACTATATATCAGGTTACTCTTTTAAACATTCTGATATGTGTTATAAATACTTATTTCCTCATAGCTAATACTCATTAGTATTTTATTGTATATTTCTATTGAGGCAACATTGGTTTACAACATTGTATATGATTTAGCGTTAGTAGGATCACACCCTTCAGGATGTGTTACCAAGCCACCCCCGCACCAAGGCACCCATAGTTCTGTCCAATAGGTCTCCTTCTCCTCCCTCTTCTCTCCCTTCCCTTAATCCCCCTCTTGTAGCATCAATTCTATAGTCAAGTTTCTAGGGTTTGCTACTGTTTGGTTTTCTCTGACCTTTGTCTTGCTTCTCGATATTTTACATATAAGTGAGACCATACAGTATTTGTCTTTCTCCTCCTGACTCATTTTGCCTAGCATAAAGCCTTCCAGTTCCATTTATGTTGTCACAAAAGTCAAGAGTTTATCGTTTTTATAGCTGAGGGTATTCCACTGTGTATATATATATACCATATCTTCATCTACTCATCTGTCATAGTATGCTTAGGGTACATTTAGGTTGTTTCTGTAACTTGGCTATTGTGAATGGTGCTATAGTGAACACAGGAGTGCATATATCCTTTGTATGTCAGGATATTTAAGGATATTGTCTTATTTAAACCTTATGTTTTCCTTGTGTTGTCTCTGTTTACATATGAGAAATCTGGGATTTAAGAACTCAAGTTTTTCTAGCTCCACAGTGCTGAGGCTGATACTGGGAACTAAGTCAGT